AGCAAGCGACACCAGCTGAAGGTGCACTGAATGAGCTCGTCATTGAACTGAGCCTAAGTTCAGAATTGAACTTGCTCTTTGGGTTTACAAGCACAAAGCAGAAAGAACTAGCTGACTTGGAGGAGGACATGACTTGTAGGGTATAACTAGTTTCTTCCCTTACTGGTTTTATTCTTTTGGAGATGCATACTCCTGAATGTGATCTTACTGCAATCAAAAGTTTTTATCTTTGGCCAGCTGGTCTGATAAGCAGAACATAGACCTTGACATAGATGAAAGAGGAACAAATTCTTTTCTTTAATTATTCAGGAAGATACCAGTTCATTTGTTAGATATACCCCAGGTTTGCAGGTAAGAAATATTCTTAGCATGCAAAATAGAATCAGTTGACTTCTGTAGCCATCCACTCACATTAGTGTAGAGGACACCCTCAGCTTACTTTAACCTAAATAATTATCACCAATGTTTAATGGGCACCCTGCAGACCACAGATCAGCAGAAGAAACAACATACAAACCATCTCACTGTAGGGATTGCAGCTCCTTAGATCCCAAGTGGGCCTTGAAACATATGTCATACAAAAAAAATACAGGAACAAAGGATTATCAAGGATCCTTTCATTCATTGAGTCCTACCCCTCATTCCTACTTAATCAAGGATTATGAATAATCCTGAAATGTCCTTGAAGCGCCTATTCCGTGGACCCTTAGGTGCAGACAGCTCCCTAACAGCCTACAGTAAACCCTAGACCCAGAGCCATAACAATAGCTGCTACAAGGAGAGAACAGGGGGAATCAAGGGCACCATTACCACCGATATATTTATTGCAACTTTACATAGTTGCTAGCACATGCAGCAAAACCAAATTCCCCCCAAAATGTGGTGAAAAAAAATATCACGGGGGAAAAGCAAACAAAAAGGGGCCATGCATAAGTTAGTCTAGATTTAACACATATGTTTCTGACTGAATTTCCTGTCTTTTAGGTTGGATTGATGTCCATGCTGTTTCTCAAATACTTCTGCATTATGGGAGGCAGGGGTCCATGCTGAAGGTGACGAAGAGAGGGCAGACCTGAGGAAGTGATGGGCTTGATGGTCCCTTCTCATTAGCTCAGGCTCAGCTGTTTTCCCATTTCCAGACTGAAAGGAGAGCTGGGAAAGGGGACTTTTATTTCCCTGGGGACAGAGACATCGTCAATTATCTGCCATTCCCTGCTGCAAGCTGTCAGAGAATAGGTGATAGGATTTCACCTTATCCCTCCACTCACTGATGGGCTCATCATTCAACTGCCATGCACTTAGCATGGGCAGAACTAATTATATTAATTATGTTTCTACATTAGCAGTAAGCAGACTGATGACTTTTTAAATGAAACATCAGTGGTTCATCAGCTATATAGATTTAAAAATGTAAGCAATGCATCCACTGCTGAAGAGGATCTCTTGAATCTCAAAAGCATTTAATATCATTTTAAATGTGCAGTATTCTTTATATCAAGAGAAAAGTTTACACTTTATCTATCTAGAAGAGAGGAGCATTATGTCGTGTAACTACTAAATGCAGACTTAGAAACTTGATCATTACACTGGAGTAGCGCCAAAATCTCCTTAGTAGTGTTCATCTGTAGGGATACCAGTCAGGTCAGCAAGAGATCTGGCTAAGTCCATGTGGGCTGAGCCTTACTGAAATTATACTAGTGACTATACGTATGCATATAATCAGAATACAACTGTATTATTAAATGCAGAGGTAGATGTATTTAGTTGATAGCACAGAGGCCTGTGAATGGTTTAAGAGACGAAGTATATTACAATAATGTGACAAATACTCATTACTCAAAGTGTCTTTGCTATATGTAGCTGTCATAAATAATCCAGTGATGTGGTGCCCATATGGAGCCGCTGTCTATGTGAGTCTGGGCTAAGAGGCTGCTGCTGGTGGAGTCAGTGTTATTTTGGAAGGTCAGTTGGAAGTATTTGAGATGTCAACAATATAAGATTAGATCTTAAGAACAGATTGTGTTTGTACGGTGGGGTCAACCTCTAATCTGACAAACTGAAAAGTAGCTGGGAGATTTCATCAGTTCTGACTCTGTTACCTCATTTTATCAGTTTTCTTCTGTACACAAACTAAACATACATTAATCACCAAGACTATATATAATATATAGAGAGAGTACAAGCCTATCTGGGCTCTGAGTTCTGACCATTTTATGCAGAAGCAAAGCAAAAGCAGCTCCAGGCGGGTCTTCAATTTACATTTCAATTGCACTTCTTCCACACTTCCTTCTGGTATCTCAGGGAAAGCCTTAGCTACTAAAACATTGCAAAGTCATCCGAGTGCTTGAGCAAAATAAAGAAAATAAGTAAATACCTTTTCCAAAATTATTAATTTTTTAAGTTTACCCAAAGGAAAACCAAAACACTTCCAGTGTGTTTGCAACATGGTCACATCTGGACACAAAGGTTTTGTTCAGAGGCAAACACATTAATCTTTCATTCACATTAGTACAGAAGATATTAATTGTGTGGAAGATGTTAGCATTTTGAGGTTTGAATCTGAAATAATTATATTTTTATAGCAAATGTGATCATGATTAGCACCCAAATTCAAGCTGATTTTATTCACCTTGTTTTTTTGAGGAATGGACGATGTTTCTGCAGTTAAATCTCCTCTGACTGTCAGTGTTGTTTAGCTTCTGCCCTTGTAGGTCTCCAGCTGCTGTCAGGATGTGTGTTAATCATCCTATCAAACAATGCAAGTGCTGAACACTTGCAAGGGATTTTCTGCTCACTGGCTCTCTGGACCCAGCTTTTAATGCAAATCCTTGTATGCAAATGGGAGCATTCGGCATGCAGCCTAACCGTCTTAAGGTTATTTGCAAAACCAAGGGGAACTTGCTAGACAGAGTCCCAGAGTGCTGTGATGGGGTGGTTTCCGCTTTGTCTCTCAGGAACTGGTTCTTGGTTGGGTTTGAACTATCAGACTGGCATGGGTGGATGCTATACCATCTACTGGGATGTGAGGTGTGACCCTGGAAGCTGCTAAGTAGCTTCTGCCAGGTGCTGGGTAGCAGCAAGCCTAAGCAGAGCTCAGCTCTGCAGAGGTGTGCTGAGAGCCTTAAGGAGCTAGGGGTGAGCATAGGGCCAAATTTGGACTTTCACTGACTGAGGAATCAAGTATCTCCAGCTGTGGCTGGAGCATGTTTACCCCTGTGCAAGTGAGCCAACGTACATCCTTACTGCAGTTTCTCCTGAGCCTGCAGATAGAACTGGCCTTAGCTGCAATGGCAGCCCAGGTGGTATACCGAGTCACAGGGGCAGCCCTTGCTCCCAAGACAGAAAGATGTACACTGTTTTGGTTGTGCAATAGAGAAAGCTTCACATTACCACTAGCACTGGCAATGCTGGGGCTGGAAAAAATATTCCTAGCAGAATTCTTGCAGAAATATTCCTGATAAAGCTGCACCTCAGGCAATGCAGTCCTCTCTACAGAGAAGCAGTAGCTCACCATGGCACCTACTGCCACCGCAAAGAGTATTTGCCCACCTTAGTGCTACTAATTAAATATAACTGGACGGTACACCGAGTTTCCCGACATATTTACTTTCACTAGTGAGTGTTTGCCATGCTGGAGCCATGTAGCCTTGGTGCTTATCTTTAATAAGCAGGCTTGGTTGTGAAGGTTTACATTACAAATCTGTCACCTTCACAAGTGGGTGCTTTTTTGGGCACTTGCAATCATTCCTCATCTGTGGGGATGAAAGGATGGTTTAGACTCTCACCTCCTTAGCTGCAGGTCATGGTTTCACAGGGCATCATCTCCATTGCCTGCAGGCAGCTCCAGCTCCTGCCTTGGCACCAAACTCGCCCTTCTGCCCAGCTGTTGGAGAGAAATGAACTGGGGCCATCCGGGTCCAGCGCTGGAGTCATAGAATCATAGAATGGTTTGGTTTGGAAGGCATCCTAGTTCCAAACACCCTGTCATGGGAAGGGACACCTTCCACTAGAGCAGGCTGCTCAAAGCCCCGTCCAACCTGGCCTTGAACACTGCCAGGGATGGGGCAGCCACAGCTTTGCTGGGGAACTTGTTCCTTACCCTCATAGTAGAGCAAGAGGGAAGCATCCCCCCTTTTCCCTCGTGGCAACAGCAAGTTGATGGAGCTGTTGTGAACCATGGCACTTTGCTATTTCTCTGCGGGTTGAAATCCACCTTAGTTTGGTGCAGATGCTGAGCCAGGCATTGGAAATGAGGAAACACAGAGCAAGGGCTTCCTCCCAGCATGCTGAAGCCCTTCCCCCCACCCCCCCAAACGTGTGATATGCAGACAATACACTGCCTGGAGCTTGTTTACTCACCTCTCATGATGGAGAGCATCGCTTTCTCATCATGGCATGCCGTGGCTGTGTATGTACCCACTGCATCTTCCTTCGCAGCAGCCAGGTGGGAACGACCATGGGGAAAAGGAGCAAGGGTCAAAGGGGAGCTGCAGAACTTGATTCATGCTGAATGAGTCCTGTTCTTAAAATGTTATGATATGCAATATCACTTTGCAGTGATGGTGAGTGTGCCCTGAGAGGTCTGCACCCTCCCAGAATAATCTCCAGGACACCCTGATGTAGCAACTGGGGGGGATACCAGGACTGGGGGAGAAGCATGCCAGGCATGGCAGAAATCAGGGATGGCACTGGGACTATGAGGCTGAAGCACCTGGTTTCTAGTCCCACATCCAGACCTTCTCAGTGTCTCTGGCACATATTCAGTAGATCCTGGGCCATAAGTCAGAAGTTAAAATAGGACCATTTTATTTTTGGGTCAGGATGATTTGGCAACACGAACAGATTTGTGCCCTGGCTCATGGCTCCTCCTGGGGTTTGGTTACCCCTTACCATAACTAATGGACACCAGGCACTCCCAGCCTCACTGCCTGCCTCTTACCCTCCATCATCACTGACCTGCTTTCTGTTGTTTTTCAGGAATATCTTCCAGGCTCCCTGAAATCATGTCAATAGGATCACATTCATTCTCTCCAGGAGGTCCTAATGGGATTATTAGAAGCCAGTCTTTTGCTGGCTTCAGCGGGCTTCAGGAGAGGCGCTCCAGGCAAGTGCTGTGCTTTCTAAGGGGAATTTCCAAGTCGGGTCCTAAGGGAGTGCTGGGCTTTAGGGGGTGAAGGTAGAAAAGAGGTGACAGAGGACTGCCTTCTCCCTGACTCATGAAAGAAAATCTTCTAGGCAAAAATCTCTCTAAGTATTGTTTGTATAATTAAGCTGTTACCCTCTACCTTAACTACCAAGTGCCTGTTTGCCTCTCCCCCATTAATGCAGGGCTTTCTCACATGCCTCAGAGCTGTGAGAGAATTTCAGAGAATCATTTTAATTTACTACCTTATGCAGTGATCTTCTCAGCATGTGAAATGTGCAGGAACACGACACACTTCCCACCGCCCCCAGTTTAAGACTGTTGCTACCTAAAAGACAGTTTTCTCATTGCCGTGCTGCTACAAATTCAGAGCACCTCTGTTCCCCTTGCAGGGCTGCCTGCCTTCATGTCCTGCTGGAAGCAGGGTAGAGCTTGGCCGTGGAGCCTTTCCTTGCACTGCCCTTTAGCTAGACAGGATTTAGGGCTCTGAATCAGGCACTTAGCAAGTTGTCCAGTCCCCGATGCCCCCAGGGGCTACTTTACCATTAACTTTATCTTGTGGAAATCACCATCTCCTAGTGCCAGACCACCAGTTAGCAAGTGAGGAAGAAGGACAGGCAAAGGGCCACCTCCCATTGTCAGCTCAAGCCAGCGATGGTTGTTAGATGCTGACCTGTCCCCAGGAGATTCACCCATATGTGGCACAACTATCCTCCTTTTCCATACAGAGCTAAATATGGTCCACACTTAAGACCAGTGGCATGATGCTGTCCTCCAGACACACTTTTAACAGATCCCTGATCTTCCTTAAGAGCCCCCAGGTTTTATGGCTGAGATTATCTGGGCTCCCCTTTGTTTTTATCACCTGGATGTAGCTCAGCAATTTTATGGCTGTGGCTGAGCAATGTGAGGCAGGACAGGCATGGTATAAGACAGAGAAACATCTGATGAGCCTCAGACTCAGCCTGGCATTTCCAGACCTGCATTTGTATCTATCTCAGCAAGGCAACTGGCACATCAAAAGCCTACAGCGCATGTCCCAGGCTGCTCAGACCTCTTAACCTGTAAACAAACACAGTCCTTTAACTGGCAGGCACAGCAGCAGATTCCTTTCTGCTAGCAGAGATAATATCAGAAGATTTCTCCAAGCTATACCTCCTTTGAGAGCATTGTGATTTATAGGGATTTCCTGCTCTTTGATGTTCATTTTGCAGGTGTAACTCCTTTATTGAAAATTCCTCTGCACTCAAGAAGCCCCAAGCAAAGGTGAAGAAAATGCATAATTTGGGCCATAAGAACAGCACCACGCCCAAAGAGCCCCAGCCTAAAAGGATGGAAGAGGTCTACCGAGCCCTGAAGAGTGGCCTGGAGTAAGAGCCTTTATTCTGCTTCCAATTGACACTTTCTGTGGCATTTTAGAGCCTAGAGAAACATATCACAGGAACAGGGATCCTTAACTGTAGGAGAGGAACGTATACCTATTGGAGCCTGGATTGTAACGCTTAGGATCTGAAATACTTGCATGGAAACAGGAATACAGGGTGCAGAATCCCATATCCACTGAAATGGCTAGAAAAGCTCCCAAAGGCTGGGGTTTCACGATTAGATTATTTTTTCTTTGCTCTGAATTTCTTAACACCCTAACAGAGATAGGAGTCTAAGGAATCCTTCAAGATTCATCCTTTAAGATAACGTCCCAGATGATAATGGGGCTTTTACCAGCCAGATACAAGGGCAGTGACTGGAAGGCACCAGCCCATAAAGTAAGCAGCAGATTAACAAACTTGAAACTGGCTGTTCAGCATGAGGAGAACACCAACCGAAGTGCTATACACAGCTAATATAACAGCTAATACACAGCTAAATACGTGGCTCCTATTTATTCCCCAAAAGGCAGCAGGGAGCTGCATTTAGGACAGATTGACGTGGATGAGTTTTTGTGTGAAAACACATCCAGTAAAGCAAGTCATTTGTTGGAGAGATTCGCTTTTAGGATGGTCAGCAGCCAGCTCACTGTGTGCTGCAGAGTTCACGCGTCCCTTCTCTGGCTTGTGTTTACAGTGAGTATCTGGAAGTTCACCAGACAGAGCTGGATAAGTTGACTACACAGTTAAAAGACATGAAAAGAAACTCACGCCTGGTACGTGTCACGCTTTTTTATCATGCGGGTGCACAGTAAACCTCCTCGAGATGCTGGGGCAGCCAGGGGGTGGGAGTGGGATACAGGGAATTTACACTGATGCTCTTCCCTTCCAGCCCTGGTCTCATTTGTGATCAATTTCTGATTTGTATTGACTGACAAACGTGACTTTCTCATGGTTCATCAAGTTTCTCATGGTGCTGTTATGTTGCAAAATTAATCACAGTTTTGTGCTTTCTGTTGCAGGGAGTCCTGTACGATTTGGATAAGGTACGTTACTCCCTTTGACACTGGTTTTGCAAGGAAGTTAGTGTCCTTACAGTGTGGGTAGCAGGCATGGGAAACCTCTCAGGCGGATATATTAGGCCAGCACTGTTGATGGAGAAGTTACCTGACAATTTGCTCTTGAAAAGGAAGAAGTCCTGCTCACCTCCTTTTCCCAAGGATATTGTCCAGAACCTCTGCCAACCAGCTGTGCTCACTAACCCAGCATCAAACTTACATTTTCAACCCTGTCATGGGGTCCATCAAGTTAAACTGGCTCTGGGACAGGCACAGGGAAGGAGGCAGACCCCTGCAAAGGGGAGGAGGGAGGCAGAGGAGTGAGACCTCCTATTGCTGTCAGCTGCCAGCCATTAAAGCTGTCACCTTGTGCAATGCAGCCCTGCCTGCTCCAGGTGGCTGGGAGGCTGGCAGGGGCACTACAGGGGGTTCTGTGGGAGCCGGGTCAAGCCCCTGCTCCTGCCAGTTCTGGGAAAGGAAAAATGGAAGATATTTTTCCCCACAGGAAAATTTGGGTGAAACAAAAGGAAAACTTTCAAAAATGTTTCCTGAACAAGTCTTGGCTTTTTTTCAGTCAAAATGCCAGGCTTGGTTTTGCTGGCAAAAACAGTTTGCTAAGAAAGAGAATGGATTTTGAAATGCAAAATATGATCAATTTTGTCAAATTCAGCCATCAGTTTTAATACAGGTTTTCAAAGTACTGAAAATACTAAATTTTGGGTTAAAAAAGCTCTCTGGTTTGGTTTTATTTTTTTTCCCTCTCTTGTTTAAGAATTTAAAAGAATCGAGAAATCCCATCAAAGAAAACCTCTTTTTTTGTTTGAAAATGTAGTAGGTACAAAAGTCAGTGAACTCCATTGTCAGCAGCAGATTAATGGCAGTAAGGTGAGCCAGCTGATTCTTGATTTATGGGCAATGAAACCCTCTGTGTTTTGAGGAGGAGTCTCTCAGGTCCATGGGGACTAGCAGAGCTAGTGTGGTGGTGTCTTACTGATTTATTTAAATGTGCCTTACTCTCTGCCTCTTCCTTTCCTCTAGCAAATCAAAGCGGTCGAAAGATACATGAGAAGGCTGGAGTTCCACATTAGCAAGGTAATGAGCACTCCTATCATCTTTCTTCTGCATCTGCTCCTATGTTATTAGGAAAACAAACCTTTGGCCTCCTGCTACCCCTCTGCTCCAGGGAGGCTCATTTGATGAAGCCTTTCCCAGATTCAGTATTTTTACTGTGACGGGCGGGTGGTCAGAGCCAAAGAAAGGCTTCCACGTGGTTTGTAGCCCCTGAGGTCCAGCCATGCCCTGAGACACTCCCACCCGCTGTTAGTACAGAGAGAACATCGGGTTGGACACTGGCTGGGAAAATCTATCTCAGTGCATGCGTATTGTTAAACTATAGGTAGAAGGAGAGTTGCATCTGAAAGTAATTTAATTCAGCAGTTGTCTCTACTGTATGCAGCAGCTAGATTGGATTTATTCCTGGATTTCACTGCTAACGCTTTTGCTGCGTGGTTTGGGGCCCACATCCACTTGATCACATTGGTGAGAGTATTCAGTAGAGGTACTTGTGATTTATACTAATACATTTTACAGCTGGACAAAATCCATGGCATGTATTCTCTTACTTATAAACATATCTGCTAGCGATTAGTTGCTTTTCTGAGCCTGACAAAAGAATGAATTATTTTTGATGGATGAAATGTCTTTTGAGAGTCATTTGAAAAGCGTTCACGCAGCTTGAAGTGCTCCAATTATAACAACCCATCCAAACCTTTTAATTTGAGTTTTCTCTTGCTCTTGGAGCTGAAAAAAAATATATAAATCATAAGGCATATATAAATCATAAGACTGAAATTTTGTTCCCCAAACCACCTTCTCTCTTGCTGGCAACGTGAATGGCAAAATTAGTGCTTAAAGAACATTTCCATTCAAGTCCTTCCCACTCCAGCCTGTTTGGAGTTAATGGTTTCTGGGCTTATTATAGGACTGAGAAGCACCAGACACAAGAGGTAATGCTGGTCAGTATTACTCAAGCTTGCTGAGTACATTAGTTTACTTTCTGTAACCCACAGCAACAGAGACAAAAAGAACTGAGCTGTGCTGTGTTAAAGCTTATGGGCTTGGCACAACTAAAGAAACATCTTTCTTTGTAATGATAGAATCATGGAATGGTTTGGGTTGGAAAGGACCTTAAGATCATCTAGTTCCAGCCCCCTGCCATGGGCAGGGATGCCTCACGCTAGACCATGTTGCCCAAGGCTCTGTCCAATAGAGAAGGTCTTTTTCAGCAGTACCAAAGCAGAGCCAGAGCAATACATTCTGCCCCGTTCTGTAGAGGAAGCAAAACGAGGAAAATGGGAAGCACAGCAGCAGACCCCATGTATTCAGGGGGCAAATGAGTATGCCCTAGCTGTGTACCATGGGCTGGGGCACAACATCAATCCTAGGCTAACGCTTCACCCTGATGGCAGAAGTAAATGCCAAGTGACTGCTATTTATAGTGGCTGTCTTTAGCTTGCTGACTTGCAAAAGACATAGGAGTAACTCCAAGAAGCTTATTTTGTAACTATGAAATGGCAAAATGCTACCTGTGCCCCCATTACCCTTTGCTGAACTCTTTCACTTTGCAAAGCAGTCCCTGTTTTGGTTAGGGAACCCTCAAGTCAGAGGCTTCTGGCACCAGGTATCCAAGCTAGTCTTGGAAAAGCCGACCTAAGGCTTTGAAGCTGTCATGAGGACCAGTCCCATTCCAAACAAATAAGCAACAGAACATTTTGTTAGAGGTTAAACAGGCTTGGAATATGGGATTTGGAACATGCGTGGATTGTTGGATGAGGCTCATCTTTAATGCAGCAATAGAAAGTTGTACACTAACAAGTCAAGGCACTGTATGCTTGCATAGAGAAATTCTGCTGGGAAACATATATACCACTGTAGACTCCTCGTGAACCTCTCAGATGGAATAAATACATACATTTAGTGCAAGGAATAGAGGGAAAAGGGAAACCAAAGCATGAGATGTGTAAAACCATTGTACTCTGAAGCTAGATCCAGATGAGCAGTGTGTGACTAGGTTTTGCAAGGCTTCCAGAGTGCTTACGAATTGGGTGCCTAAGTTATGCCAAAGCAGTTTAAGATGACTAGGAAATTACCAGCCTGAGGGCTGGAGTTCAAAATACTTTCTTGATTTGACATCAGCTGTTTCTAAGCCCTTTATGTGTGCTGATTCTGGCTATGAGTCCCAGTTTCTGGAGGATGGGCAGTGAGAATTCCAAAAATCACTCCCATCTTCCAGTACTACCCATTAGTCAAATACTGCAACAGCCTGGATCCACAGCTGACCTTAGCAATACAGAAGACATTGCTGTCCCTGTCAAATGTGCCATTTAATGCATCCAATCCCATTTGGCAGCGTGGACATTGCAGTTGCCTTTGAAAAAGCTTTTCCACACCAATATATTTGAGAGGCTTGCTGCATGCCTGCTCTGCTGTTATGATTGTACAGAGCCCAGTGTATAGGAGAAAGGGAGTAGCTATGGTTAAAGGCAAGCAGGTGAATTGATGGCAGCATCTACAGTAATGAGATTTTTACATTGGAAATCATTTTTATCTTGTGTTTCTTTTTCACAGAGTGTAACAGTATCACAGCTTCATTTGCACAGCCCCTCCACTGGATCTACCAGCTTGGCTGAGTTTCCTTATAATGCAAATGACTTCATTGCTGGTCTTATTTTGATGGGTTTTCTGGGTTCTTTTTCCAACACTCT